GAAAAGTCATCCTTAACAAGGGACTGAAAAATAGAAGGATCGTTCGTAAAAGATGAAATTGTGGAATCCCATTGAAGGTCACAAGCCAAGTTTGCTAAATGAATTAACCACTCTGTTTCCCTCTCTAAAGATGTGCTAAAATGAAAGTTGAAGAGGGATAGATTTAATCGCCACTAAAAAATACCAGACCAACCAAGGGGGAGAAAAGATCCCATTAATGCAATGAACCAAACTCTAGGAGTTGAAAAAATCAACCTACTCTGTACAATCCAAATGTCCAAGTAGAAAGAAATTTCACCTTTACCTACTAACCAATATTAATTTTCCAACTTGGTAAAATTTAAGTTCTTCTTGCAAGTTGCAGAAATCAACTGGGGGCAATCAATTTGAGAGATGTGGGAATTACGTAGACATTTGGATTTAAAAAAGGGCCCATAATAACCTCCCATAAAGAGTGTTCCAAAGGAACTTCATGTGTAACGCTTTATTAACATAAAAAATTCTGCGTAAACTAAGGCCCCCTTCATCATGAGGCTTACAAATAGTTTCCCAAGACACCTAGTAGTGTTTCTTACTTCCTTTACCATCAGGTCGAAGGAAATCAACAAGTATTTTGTCAATTTTCCAGAGTACTTTTTTGGGGGTAGTAACAAGTGAAAGAAGATAAACTGGAATGCTAGAAAGGACACTTTGGATAAGGGTAATTTTACTACCAAAAGAAAGAAATTTACCTTTCCATCCTATGACTCTTTCAAAATTTTGCTTCAGTAAATCATCAAACACTTTACTTTTGTACCTACCCTTACAAATAGGAAGTCCCAAATAAGTAAAAGGAAGAGCTTTTTGAGTGAATCCAATACATCTCTCAATTATTCCAGTGCGGGCATCTGAAGTATTTTTGGAGACATAAAAGCCACTCTTATTTTGGAGACATAAAAATCACCATGTCATCTACATAGAGAGAGTGAGAAATAATCTAACAACCTCTAGGTAAATGAAATTGACAAACCTGATTTCTGGCCATCAATTCCTCAAGCCTTTGCTTGAAACATCCTTTGCTGAAATAAATAAATAAGGGGAGAGTGGATCCCCTTGTCTAATGCCCCAGGAAGATTTAGGAGGCATTATTTTTCTGGATTTTGAGAGGGGGAAAGTAGGTTAATGGGATTTTGATTCTCATTGAACAAGAATCCCATGTTCTTTTTTCAGATTTATGTAGGGACCAGGGAAAGTTTATTTTCCTGGTTATCACTTACTCGGGTAAGTGATACCCATCTCCTAGGTGGGTAAACAACTTTCCCACCTTGGGAGAAAGTTGCCAACACCTGAAAGGAACAAAAGTGCCCCTTGTAATAATGGATTTTTATGGATAAAATGGTCATTGCCTTATTTTCATGGGAAATAAAAGAACATAGGTAAATGCACTTACCCGGGTAAATCTTTCCTAGGATACAATTACCTGGGTAAGTGTATTTACCCAGGTAAGTAACTTACCGAAATGCGAAAACTAGCATTCGAGATCTTATTAATTATGATAGAAAACTAGCAATTTGAGATCATCTGACTAATCATCTTAATCCAATCATCAAAAAAGCCAAATCGGCATAGAACCTGAAAAAGAAAAGTCCACTCTAGCCTATCATAGGTTTTAGCCATGTCCAATTTCAAGACAACATTACCCCCCAAATTTTTTCTATCGATTTCTTGTGCTATCTCCTGCACTAGAGAAATACTATTCATTATGTTCCTTCCTTGTACAAATGCACCCTCCCAATTAGAAATCATATTAGGCATAATTAAAAATTTTGCCAAAATTTTATAAATAAAATTTCCAATAGGGGTGTTCACATTAAATGTCAAACTGACCAAACCGGCCCGACCTAACCCGAGTTGATAAATTTTTCAAAACCACTAGTCGGTTCTGGTTTGTCTGAGAAAATAAACTGACAACTCGGTTCTATTTTCAGTTTTTATACATGAAAACCTAAACTGAACCAAACTGACCATATATGTTTTAAGTAATTACTAAGAAGTCCCTATTCAGCCCTACTTCCTATCACAGTAAACTTTAAATTTAAGTTATTTATTACCTTTTTGGGTTTAGCAAGCATTGATGCGAAAGAGTCTTGGAAATTGGAATGGGAATACATGTTGGATTGTTGGAGTCTTCACTCTTCAATTTTGGAAAGAGAAAAAAAGAGAGGTTAAATAAAGTTATTTATTACCTTTTTGGGTTTAGCAAGCATTGCTGTCATGGAGAGACAACTGTTGGAGTCTTCACTCTTTAGTTTTGAAAAGAGAAAAAAAGAGAGGTTAAATAAATCGACTGAACTGATAAACCGACCCTTCATGTTTGGGTTGGTTTTGCTTCGAGTCAGTTGAAGAAAATGGCTCAAACCAACCCAACCCGACCCGTGAACACCCCTAATTTGCAACACTAATGGGTCTGAAATCAGCAAAAGTTATTCGGTTTTTCATCTTGGAAATCAAAGAGATCAAAGACGAAGTAAAATCTCTTGAAATCTTACCACCTCTAAAAATATAATAGATGGCTTCATAAACATCCATAGCAATAAGATCCCAACAACAAAGAAAAAAATGACCAGAAAAGCGATTGGGTCCTAGAACTGCATCTCTATTAATTTCAAAAACTACACCCTTAACCTCCTCATGGAAGGAACCATCATTAGTCTAGAATTCTCTTCAGAAGAAATGGACACATCAATAGAAGATAACAGATTTGCATTCTCAGTCACGTTACTAGCAAACATAATTTCTGAAAAATATGCCACAACCCCATTACCAATGTCATTCGGAGTCAACAACCAGTTACCGTCAGAATCCTGAATTCTATGAATAATTCCCCATCTTCTTTTCACTTTAATTGAGGCATGAAAGAAAATCATATTTTTGTCACCTTCCTTCAACCAAGTAACCTTGGACTTTTGGTGCCAGAAAATTTCCTCCAATTTCAACAAATTGTTTAACTGATTTCTAGCATTATTCAAAGCCACCCAGTTATATTCGAAAGGGTCTTCCATATGAGCCGACACCCTAATCAGCACCAGATCTTCAGTCTGCTAGACATTTTGATGAATATCCAAAAATTAATCAATTCCAATTCTGCAAGGTTGATTGTAGTCGTTTCAATTTTTTACGAATTTTCACTGCAGGATCACCCCCATTGGCTAAACCCTACAATCTTAACCACATTAAGAAAGTCATGGTGTTCAGTCCACATCTGTTGAATTTAAAAACCTCTATGGGAAATTAGGACCTCATCTTCCCAGGCAAGGATGAAAGGGGCATGATCAGAGTACAATCTGTTCAAATGTTTGACTGTTTTCAAAGGGAAACCATTAATACGGTTTCTATCAAATAATGCTCTATCCAGCTGAGCCCAAGCACAGTCTAGACCCCATCTTCCATCACACTAGGAAAATATTTCCTTCATAACCAACATCGATCCCTGATCTGGGCCCCTCTGGCTAGGGGTGTCAATGGTCCAGATTTGGTCCAAATATTAAAATTGGATTGGACTAGTCCATGTTTTTATCTTCGATACAATTAACGGACCAAAATGGACCAACTCCATTTCTCCGTAAACCGTCTAAAAGTCCATTGAAACCTTGAAGGCAAAGCTCTGGACGTTACATCGTTCGCCTCTTTGAAGCATCTCTCTCTCAAACCCTCTTTCAAACATTTCCTATCTGACATCACATCAACAAAATGGTCGTCCTTCTTTGTTATTGTCGACATGTGTTTTGGAGGGTGGGCCAAGGTCGCGAATGCCCTAGATATATTTCATTCCATCTTCAACACTGGCAGTGCTTATGGCATGGCCACTTCTCCATCTACACACCTCCCTCCATAATCCATCGCACCTAGCTCCCAGAGATTGATCCTTCATCCTGATTCACACAGACACAAGTTTGTTTGTGGTTGAGATCCGTTGGACTTTTATTTAATACAATGGAGGATATCAATTAGATTGGCTTACTACCTCTTCATTGGCCAACAAAACCTGTGCGGACAGAGCTACCAGGACCACCCCGAATCAATGCGTCAATGCATCTAGTGGCTCAATACGCAACCTTTGGATTTTGTTCTTTATGTATGCTTGTGTTCTTAGAACACAATCTCTGCTTCAGAAGTGATGGAATTGACTATCACTTTGTAGGCAAGCGGTAGGAATTTCATATGGGTCATTAAGCCTCTAGTGGGACTTGACATAAACTTTGAATTCAGGGTGGATGATTGGTAGCCCGAGGGATTCGAGGATTGAATAAAATTGCAAAACAGAGGACTGTTAGTGCATAAATGGGAACCCCAGGCAGATATTCTATCTCATAGGTCTACCTCTACCTTCAGGTTGGTGCTTCTACTATGAACATTACTAGAATGTCGGCAACCAAGGTGCATGTGGAGGTTGATATTTTGCGAGACAACTCATCTGATGGACCAAATTAAAAGAGAGATAAGCCAAAACAGATTTTTATTTTAATAAAATATTAGTAATATATAACAATAACTAAAAAAAAGATATTGATGGTGTATACATACAGTATACATAGAGCAAATATTCTATTGATCATATAATTACTCCCATTAGCCTACGAATAGTGATACTGGTCGAGGATGACATTAAGGATCACAGGTCATTTGGTCCAACAAAAGAAAAGTTATTTCTTTCAAACTAAACACATCCTAAATGGTCAAAATGCTTCTTGTAGAAGAAAATCTATGGCTAATTGTCGATGGGTGATAAAAGCAATACTGGAATAATGAGGAGGGAACGACTCAGTCGAAAATGACCGATCTCTTGAATCATTTAAATAGAAAAGTTACAAGAGGATAACTATGTACAGAAGATAACAATTACAGAGTTAGAGTTTATCTAGGAAATTAATAGAGGATAAGCTACATGATAATGAGATAAGGTGATCAGTTATCTAGGATAGCTATCAGAGATAACCATTCCGGTTATAAGTCTATCATAACTATTGAGATACTCTAACATCCCCCCGCAAGCTTAGCGGTCTCTTGGAGACGATAAGCTTGGCTGTAAGGTCATTAAACCTTGTTGATGGCAGATGTTTGGTAAGAATGTCTGCAATCTGATCATGGCTGGGAATGTGATTGATCAGAAGAAGGCCGGCTGCAACTTTTTCTCGGATAAAGTGAACATCCAATTCTATGTGCTTGGTGTGAGAATGGTGGACAGGATTGGAGGAGAGAAACTTGGCACTCAAATTGTCACACCAGATGACAGGTGGGCGAGGGAGCTTCAATCCAAGCTTCGTGAGCAACATTTGGAGCCAAAGAATTTCAGCGGCAGTGGAGGCAAGACTACGGTATTCCAATTCTGTGCTGGAGCGAGAAACCGTGGACTGTTCATGAGAGCTCCATGAAATCAGATTACGACCCAGGTAAACACAGAAACTCCCTTGGGAGCGATGATCAACAGGGCAACTAGTCCAGTTAGCATCAGAAAAGGCTTCGAGAGCCAATTCTAGAGAAGTACGAAAAGTAATGACATGATCAATTATGGATTTAAGATAACGGAGGATCCTCTTGACTGCACTCCAATGAACATTAGTGGGTTCTTTCATAAACTGACAAACTTTGTTAACCGAGAAGCTGACGTCTAGCCGAGTAACGATAATATATTGTAGGGCCCCTACTACATTGCGATATTCGGTGGCATCTGGAAGAGGAGAACCATGAGTAACATCAAGTTTGGTAGATGCCGCCATAGGTGTGTGAATTGGTTTAGCCTCATGCATCTTGGTCTTGACGAGAAGATAATGAATATATTTACGTTGGGATAGGTGCACCCCATCTGAACTGCGGTGCAGTTCCAAACCCAGGAAGTAATGAGCTTCCCCAAGATCTCGAAGAGCAAAAGTGGTAGATAGCTGAGAGATGAGGTGAGTAAGGGCAGAAGTAGAAGATCCAGTGATCAATAAGTCATCCACATATACAAGAAAAATATGACATCAGTGCTAGTCCGCCGCATGAATAGAGAACTATCTGCTCAGGATTCCAGAAAACCAAGGTGAACCAAATGATCCCTTAATCGAGTAAACCAGGCCCGTGGGGCTTGTTTCAAACCATAAAGGGAATGTTTAAGACAGCATACAAAATGTGGCCGTGCTGGATCAATGAAACCCATGGGCTATTTCATAAAAACATCTACACTGAGGTAGCTATGAAGGAAGGCATTGCTCACACCAAGTTGTCTAAGATTCCAGCCATAGTGAACTGCGAGAGATATTATTAACCGAATAGTGGTTGGTTTAACCACCGGACTAAATGTTTTAGCAAAGTCAATACGGGCTTGTTGAGTAAACCATTGAGCCACCAATTGCGCTTTGTATCTTTCAATGGACCCATCCGGACGTCTCTTAATCTTATAAGCCCATCGATTTCCCACAATGTTCTTATGAGGAGGTGGAGGTACAAGATCCCAGGTATCATTATGCAACAACGCTTTGTACTCATCCTCCATGGCAAGTACCCAACGAGGATCTTTCTTGGCAATAGTTTAGCAAGAGGGTTCAAGATCGAGGTCAACGGAGGCTTCCAAAGCATACCAAGGGTTTGGCTTGCGAACTCCACTCTTGCTCCATGTCATCATGGGATGAGCATTAAGTGGGGTTGATGATGATGGGAACAAGTCGGTAGAACTAACACCAGTGGATGTAATAGGTGGGCTAGAGGAGGTGGTGCCGATGGGTACAGGAATGGTCTGAGGAGAAGGGAAAGGATATGTAACGATAGGAGGACCAACCACAGTGTTGGTAGCCGAGTTGGGAAGTGTGTTGTGCTGCCAGAAGTGCATGGGAAGGTATGTTCATAAAAAACCACATTACGGGAAATATATAGACGACTAGATGTTAAGTCCAAGCATTTGTACCCTTTGTGATGTAAACTGTAACCTAGAAATAAACAACATTTGGAGCGGTAGTCTAGCTTAGAGCGGTTATAAGGTCTGAGATGCGGATAGCAAGCACATCTGAAAGTGTGCAACAAAGTGTAAGTTTAGTGCCAAAGAGACACTCTAAAGGAGAATTCATGTCTAGTATTGGAGAAGAGAGTCGGTTAATTAAAAAAACTGCAGTCTCAAAGGCATCATACTAATAATGTTTGGGCATTGAAGCCGTAGCCAGGAGGGTGAGACCCATTTCAACAATATGGCGGTGGCGTCGTTCTACAATCCCATTTTGTTCATGAATATGTGAACATGAGAGACGATGAGTGATGCCTGAATCAGAGAGAATAGGGAGAAGTGGTTTGTATTCGGTACCTCCATTTGTTTGTAGAGTTTTGATAGAGGTGTTCAATAAATTCTTCACATTCTTCTTAAAAACAGCAAAAATAAAACCAACTTGAGTTTTAGAGGTCATAGGAAAAATCCATATATACTTGCTGTAAGCATCAACAAAATTCAAATAATAGCGAAAACTATGTCTTCTAGAGATAGGGGCTGGTCACCAAACATCAGAAAATAAAAGTTTTAATGGATACTTCACAACAAAAGTACTATTAGAAAACGACAAGGTATGACTCTTGCCTAGTGGACATGATGGACAAAAAGACATGTCCTTATTTGAAACTGGAAGCTGAAATGAAGATAAGATGTGGGTAGCTACTCGCTTGCTAGGATGTCCTAGCCACTGATGCCATACAGAAACCAATGCTTTCTCACCAATCAATGCCGATGGAGCTTTAGTTGTGCAATTTGTCTTCAGTTGATAGAGCCCTCCCTTAATTGGTCCTTGGAGGAGAATTTTCCCGGTCGCTTTGTCCTTAACAGAGAAGCCAATAGCATCAAAAATAAAAGTTGCATTATTATCCTTACAAAACTGGCTGACAGAGAGAAAGTTCTTAGATATATTAAGAACTCTGAGAACATTATTCAAGACAATGGACCTATAATCAATATTCAAAACAGAAGAGCCAATATGAGATATGTCTAGACCCGTACCATTGCTGAATAGGATATGATCTGTTTCATGATATTCATCGTGAAGAGAGAGATTCCCAAGATCTGAGGTCATATGATTGGTTGGTCCAGAATCAGGGTACCAATTTTCATCACGAGTAGATCGTGAAGATGAGGTTGTATGAGCTTGCTTGGTATTCTTATTGGTAGTGAGTTTTAGATAACAGCGACAAGTAGCTGCTGTATGGCCAGGATACCCACTGAGTTGGCAAACCACAGTGGCATTCTTGGAATCGGATATGCTGCGATTATTGTTATTATAGGAAGCTTTCTTGGAATTGTTAGAACCACCATAATTATTAAATTGTTGTGGCTTATAATAAGATGATTGATTGCGATTGAAGTTTCTCTTCTTATTGGCCAAATTAGCAAAAGGAGAGTCCATCACAAGTTGTGAAGAGTGACACTCTAGGTGCTTTTCAAATGTAAGTAACATATTTTGAATTTCAGAAAAAGAAAGACTATCTAGTCTAGTAGTCATATAGAGCACAAATGTATCATATTCAACAAGTAAACCACTAAGAAGATAATGAATCTGATCAACATCAGTGAGAAAGTATCTAGAAGCAGCTAATGCATTAGATAAATTTTTAATTTTCTGAACATAATTAGTGACAGTGAGAGTACCCTTCTTGAGATAGGCTAATTCTAATTTCAAAACATGGATTCGATTCTAGCTGGTAGAAGAAAAAAGAACATGAAGTCGATCCCGTACCTCTTTGGATGTCTTACTGCCAACTACTTGAGCCAGAATTGACTCTGTTAATGAAGATAATAACCAACTTATAATCAACGGGTTTTGTTCGATCCATGCTGCATGATCCGGGTTGCTACGGCTGGATCTTTGGCTATTGCCATCTTCCAAGAAGAAGATCCGTCCACATAGCCATATAAATGATACCCTTTGAGAGTTGGTGTAGTTTGAGAGCTTCAAAGCAGGAAGTTAGTACGGTCCAGTTTTACTGAAACTACATTCATAAAATTGGAAAGGGACACCACCATATTGGTTCGACCATCTGTCATCCAAGTTGCATTTGTCTTTGGACGACATGAGTAGTGGTACTTGTCTCTAAAGCCATGACGTTTGTCAAATGGCTCTGATACCATATAAGAGCAATACTGGAATAATGAGGAGGGAATGATTCAGTCGAAAATAACTGGTCTCTTGAATCATTTAAATAGAGAAGTTACAAGAGGATAACTATGTACAGAAGATAACAATTACAGAGTTAGAGTTTATCTAGGAAATTAATAGAGAATAAGCTATATGATAATGAGATAAGGTGATCAGTTATCTAAGATAGCTATCAGAGATAACCATCCCAATTACAAGTCTATATAATTATTGAGATATTCTAACAGGGTGATATCATGGCAGTGAAGATATATATTTGGCTGTTATGCAGCTAATTATCAAGTAAGCCTATTACATCTCCCTTCCGTCTCTTCTCTCGGTCTCGATAATATTATAAGTTTATTTGGTAGATTGGTTAATAGACAATCAAGGAAATTGGAAGGGTTTCTTGCGTCTAGTAGAGGACAACGTTCCGTTCCTTATCACAGATATGATTCACAATAGTTATTACTAACCAAAGAATCCAATAGTCTATAAACTGGTCTGAGCTGCTAACACGTGCTAATAACCTAATTATTTGGGTATTTTACTCTGTCCACCATGTCTCTGGCTTCTGTCTAACTATTAATGAACATAGGGCACATGTTTGATTGATTACCAAACTAACCAAAATGTTTGCACCTAAGAACATGGAGAAAGCAGATTAATTACTACTTAATCAATGAGGCTGAAACAGCGAGCTTGTCAATGACAAATGGATAATGACTTGATTTCATTTTGCCAGCCAGAGATATTCAGTCCCACTAGAAGATTGCTTAAATTGTCTAAACGTTTCTGGGAGGTCCAGTTTAATGGACCTTAAACATGACGACTGTCAAGCACATGTTTCCTTGGAAGATAGCTACCCATATGTTATAGGACCCATCATCCAATTCTAATTTTTTATGGGCCAGGCCCATTAAAGTTATAGCCAGGTCCAAACTGCCTATTGGGGCTTAAATATAAACCCGTATAACGAACAGTGGACATCAATCACTATACAATTGCATCAATATATGGGAGATTTCATGGTGACAAAGTTGTAGCTCAGGTCCAAATTTCCATTAGGGCTTAGAATCTCTTTTGTTTTGTTTATCTAGGAAGAGCAAAATTCGATGTAAAATGATTGAGTGAAGGGCAAGAAGAAAGTGGTGCAAATTTTATAAGAGGATTTTTAATGCAAAATTTGCACTCTCAATGGGCATTAATGAGATAAAAAGTACAAATTTTATAACAAATAGAGATGCAAATCATGATTACGAACAAATGCATTACTTCAAATTTACATTGTAATTAACAGACGAAGTATTGATAACCCAATAGTTGAGATGGTCACTAAACATCACTCATAGTAGGGATACTGGATTAACTCCATCAAGTTAATCTATTAGTGTACTACCTCAGTTGTACCCTACTGCATAGTTTCGGGTAATAATCTTTTATACATCACATATTATTAGTGTTGCCCAACCACAACAAATAGATCCTACTTCTCATGTATGGCCCAGAGGTTTCACCAGAAACCTCATCTAAGACTGCCTACTCATCTTGAGTTGGACTAGGGGTGGATATGGATGACCCGATTAGATCCGATACTATTTTATTAGATTTAATTAATTAGATATCTTTCTATATTTTTTGATCAAATCGGATTGAATAACAAGATCCAATTAAAAATCAGACCGAATTTGGATCACCCCTATCCGATCCGAAAAAATCCGATATATATTTATATATATATATATACGTGGGAGGTTGTGATGATAATAATTAAAGTATGGAAATGAAAAAAAAATGTTAAAAAATGTCAGTACACATTTAGAAAAAACCATCTTTTTTGCACATTTAATAGTAATAGGTGCTACAATCCAACCCAAATTCTCTGGACTTGAATATCTCAATTATCTCAGAGTTTGTCCGGGAATTTCTCTCTAGATGAAATCACAGTGAGTAGGGCAAATGCTTTGTGTAATGATAAAATATTGAAGGGACTCTCCTTTGCTATATAAGCTTTTGTTGGGATATGTTAGCTTCTTTAACCATTGACAAAATTGAATGAAAATTATATGAGAAAACATAAGCACCTGACTAGATGTATTCATGGCAGCTATAAAATCTAGTTTGTACATATAGGTGCTCTTTGTAGTCTGTACATATACTTCCCAATGGTACTACTTAATTTAGGATCCAACTCTTAGGATTTGGAATAAGAGTCTCAAATAACCTGATTATCAATGAATGGCATTGGAGGAGAAATATTTTTTGAGCAAGTATGGCTATCAATGTAGCTCAAATAATTATTATGTTTGACATCTTATCATAATCCTTCAAAACTATTATATCGATAGCCCTAAGAGAGAGAAGGGATGCCAATGGATCGAGTTTAATA